GGTTAAACTTGCATGTTTTCTAGGCCAAAACAAGGCTGTGTTTTTGGTCCACCCTATAGAGCCTCAAACTCAACGATAATTCTGATATTTTTAATTGAAAAAGCTTCCTGGACGGAAGCGAAACGTCTTCAAACTTGGAAACAAAGTCCAGTAGATTGTTTTTTTTTTTTTAACTTTTTTGGAATGACTATGACCTGGATGACTGAAAATCTTCACCAGATTTTAAAGATTATTGAGCTTTTTACTGGCAACTGAAAAAAGACTTTTGACTTCCTGAAGGAAATAAGTTTGAGTTTAAAGGTTTTTAGGATGAGAACTTGGGAGGTTTTTCTTCCCATCTCAAAGTTCTCTGAACAAAACTGTTTATTTTAATCAAATTAACTCTGACAGCAAGTTCAGTCCCTCAGCCTTCTCCCAGTCTGATGCGTTTTTGCTCCTCTGTAAATTAGGAGAGCAGCTACCTGTGCTGCCTGTGGATCTCCTCCAGCTGAATGTTTCCATCAGAGTTCTCCGCCTGGGTTCTCTGGATCTCTCTCTGTAGCTCCTCACGGTGAGCGTTCATGATCGCTTCTATTGCTGCAGGAGGAGAAGGAAGAGAGGGAGGGTTATTTGAGAATGGATTGTGATTTTCAGGTTTAAGTCCAAAGATATCTCACCGGTGGCAGTGGCTGAGCTCTCCTCCTCCAGCAGTCTCTCCCTTTCCAGCAGGAGGCGCTCCACCTCCTGCTGGTGCAGACGCTGCAGCTCCTCCACCACCCTCTCATGACAGTCCTCCATGGCGACCAGACCGCGCTCACATGTGGCCTGGAAACACAAACACACTCCAGTTCAGGTCAGTCTAAAGGCCTGATATTTAATCTGGATCAAGTGGAGACCAGCAGGGGAAAACTTAATTCACCAATGCTCACACACACACACACACATATATATATAGAAGGTAAATACAGAGCTAAGCTGGTCTCTGCAGACGAAGGCTTCACAGAAACTGGAGATCAGAAATTATCCACAAAACCCTGATCAATGTTTCTGTGGTTTTTAATCTCTGCTGTACGGCAGCAGATGAACATTTAATTCATTTTCACAGAAATCAAATTTTCCCTTAAAGGTAAAGTGGAGGATTTTCGTGAATTTTTTGGTAAGACCCGCCCTCTCCACTTTAAAAACAAAATGCACATGAACAACCCTCTACCCTCTCCAGAGAGGGAACGTCTATTAAACGCGTGAACAAGCCCCTTTCCCCTTGTGCACTCTGTTTAAAAGTTGCTGTTTGAATCTCTCATACAAGCTTACTTTCCAAAAGATTAGCTGTTTTTCCACTATTTCAGACTCTCCATCGGTAAGTGAAAACCTTACATACACATCACCAGAATGATTGACAGTTAGAAGGGCCACTTATTTTGATGATCCACACTGAAAAAGAACATCCTCCACTTTAACCTTTAACCTTTCAAACACTAAAATTCCAGCCTATGAAAAAAAGATTTGCTGAAAAAAATAATTGAAAAAGTTGAATCTAAACAGCTTTATGAAAATAAACTATTTGTAATCAGCATTTTTTAAAATCCCTCTTTAAATTTAGGCCTTTATTCTCTTAGCATATATTTAAGTTATTGCTCCAGCTTATTTAATGTAAGTTGATTAGAGCAACTAATGATTATTTTGCAAATCGATTGATCTGTCGGATTAATATTCTGATTCCTTACAAAGGACTTTTTTTCTGAAATTAAAGCAGGTGAAACCCAAACTTATCCACTTGAGGAGTTCTGGATAGACCATTAACGCACAGCCTAATGTGTATATAGTATATAGCTATATACTATATATTGTATATAGCTATATACTATATATTGTATATTGTATATAGCTATATACTATATATTGTATATAGTATATAGCTATATACTATATATTGTATATAGCAGGGGTCTTCAACGTCTTCCAGGCTAAGGACCCCAAACTGATGGCAGATGGAGCGGGGACCCCCTAATTATATATATTGTATGAAATTGTGTTCTATCAAACTGGTCCTATAGTCACTCTGTTACAGATTGAGTAATGTAACTAAAGTAATCCCTCCCTGGGATCCTCTGCCTCCATTTATCTGTTTACTACAGTGTGTTGAATTCATGACAAAGTGTATTTAAAGATATTTCAATTACTGGGAAAAATTGCAGGGGGGAATATAAAAAAAGTCTAATTGACCAAAACTTTCGCGACCCCCATGCAGTACCTCTGTGGACCCCCTAGGGGTCACGGACCCCCTGTTGAAGACCTCTGGTATATAGTATATTGTGTGTTTTATATTGTATATAACTATAGATTCTGTATCCTGTATAAATATCTAATTTCTCTGCACCATAAACACCAAGTCAAATTCCTTGTAAGTACAAACATAGTTGACAATAAATCTTAAACAAATTTTATTTTTTCTCTTAATTTAAAATGTTTATTTTTTTACAGTTTGGGTATAATTACTGCTCTGGGTCGCTCTGTCAGCTAAAGGCATGTTTTACAGTCTCTATATTCCAGTTAATGATTAATCGATTACTAAATTAGTTGACGATTATTTCATTGATCAATTAATCGGATTAATTGTTTCAGCCCTGAAGCTGATTTCTGCAAAGTATCACACAAGCAAAACCATTTCCTCCCTCTCTCTACAAGCTAAGCGCTGGCTAAGAAGCTGAAGGGAGGCCTACCATGTTTGCGTTCACAGCAGACATGTCCTCCTGATCCAGGTTTTGGAAAGAAAAGTCAACCACAGAGAACCGTATGGAAACCCTGCACCTCCAAAAGGGAAACGCCTACCTTCAGCTTTTCTATCTCCCTCTCATGCTGCTCCTGCAGATTTCTCATCTTCTCCTCAGAATCCTCCCTCAGCTTCTCTCCTGAGACACGCAGCTGTTCCTCCAGCTCTTCCACTTTTAGCTTGAGTTCAGAGAGCCGCTGTGACTGCCGGCCAGCTTCCTCCTCATCTCTTTCTTCTGATGCTGCGACCGTTTGCAGTGCGGTCAGAGGGATTTCGCTCTCAGTCAGCTCCATGTCAGACGTCTCCTCCACATCACGCTCTCCTGAACTCTGTAGCTCTGTGTCTGTAAACGTTGAGGATCTTTCATCAGTCTGGCAGCCTGTGCTCATCCTGGGACTATCTGAGACAGACGCTTCCTCCAGGATCGACAGTCTTGTTTTCAGCTCTTCGTTTTCCTCTGTGAGGCTGACACAGCTGGAACATCTTCTCCTCTCGTATTTGGACTGAAGCCTGCGTAGAAGGCAGCAGCAGAACGCTTGAGTGGCTGCAGAGTGAATGAAAGAAACTGACGCAGGATGGGGAGATGAGTAAAAATCATAGAGTCTATCAGCTGCCGGCAGCAGTCTGTCGAGAGCAGAGCTGCTTCCAGAGGAGGAGGAGGAGGCCAGGAGGTGTAGTGAGGAGATCTTGGTCTGTGTAACAGCCTCCAGATTCTTCAGAAGATCTTTAAAACCAGACCTACAGCTTCCCTCCTCTGTTCTGGTTTCAGAAGGTGCAGAACTTTCCCAGATAAAGTTTCCATCGTCCAAAGCTTTGCTCTCACATGTCCCTGCTTCCCTGCCTCTCATCTCCTCCGGATGAAGAAGCAGCTGTAGGCCTTCCAGCACCATCTGATCCTCCAACATCAACCCTTCCACCACCTCACACAGAAGCTCTCCTATCGGGTTCTTCAGCTGAGGCCGATCGTCCCTCAGTTTATCCAGGAGAGATCTCCAAAATGTTTCCTCCCACCGCAGCTGCATCACCATGCCGGCACTCCCCTCCTCTTCCTCTGGTTCTCCGTTGAAGTCAAAACTTTCGATAAGCTGCAGTAGTGTCCTTAAAGCTTTCTGCCTCATTACTGCTCCTTCTATCACTTGCTGGATCTTTTCTTCAGCAGGAACAATCCGGCTCCTGTCTTCTTCTTCTTCTTCCGCTTTCTCCTCAGCCAGCCTCCTGATGTCTGCCTCGGCCTCTGAAGCTCTTTGCAGATAAAGTTCTCCTGTTTCTTTCAGCTCCATGTTGTGGTTCTCCAGCTGCCTGCGGGTCAGCTCCGACTCTTCCAGCTGCCTCTGCAGCTCCATCACTTTGGCCTCTGTAGCATCCAGACGCTGAAGCAGCTCTGCCTTTTCTGCCCTGTGTTTGTTTTCTTCTTCTGCTAATCTGTTTGTTTCTGCTGTATTTTTTAGTTGCAGCAGTGCCTCCGTCTCCTTCAGGTTTTCCTCCAAAGAGGTGATCAGCATCTGAGCCTCCAGGAGCTCCTGGTTCCTCAGACTCAGCTGCCTCTCCAAGTCTTCCAGCTTCATCTTCTCCTGTTGTTCCACCTCAGGAAGGTGATGGGGCTCCGTGTATCGGCTGCCCAGCTCTACCTTCAGCCTCTCGATCTCACGGTCTGCCTCAGTCAGCTGGTTTACCATCTCCTGGTTGCGTTGGTTGAGAGCCTGGTTCTGACTGGTGAGCAGCTCAACCTCTTGGGAAAGCCTCTTCATTACAGACTGGTCTGTAGCAACAGGGCTCTCGCGGATGTCTCTCCCTTCAGGTTTTTCTGGTACCAAAAACTGTTGGGAATCACAGTCTGATCCTAATGAAGGTGATTTAGCATGTGGTTCCCTCTGACACAATCGATCCAAACCATTTATGTCTGTTAGCGGCTTTAAATGTAGATCTGCTGGGAGGAAGACTGCTTCAGATAAGATCGAAGGGTCCTGCTGGAGAAAAACCGAAGGAAAGGAGAAACTCAGATAGAAAGCAGGAATATTTTACTAATTTTTCAAAGACATATTAACATTGATCCATAGCAGAGTTAGACATAAAAAACTGATTTAATGTGGATATAAGTCTTTCACATCTTATAGACTTTCCTGCATTTGTTCATGTTAAAACTGGAATTTGCAAAGACAGATCAATACAAATAAAGTTTCATTGGAAAATTAAAATAATTACAAATTCTAAAAACTAAAGCATGTATTAATATTCAACCCATTTACTCTAATATCCTTTAAAAAAAATCCAGGTTAACCAATTTCAGTTATTTGGTTAATTAATAGGTCTATAGTAACTTAAGTTTCTATAAAAAAAATCATTAAAAAAAAATAATAAATCCATAGGACATGTAGAGATATACAGAATAGAAATATTGATTTGACTGATAAATTGAAAAATGAAGTATATAAATAAATTTCTTTTAAATATGGCTGACAGGTCCAAAATGCATTAAGATTTACTTCTTGTTAACAACATGAATGGATTCTGCACCAATAGGAATAGCAGTTTGAACTCAATAGTAGTTTGAAGTCAGGTGACTTGGAGCTCAGATGTTTCCAGATCCTAGTAGCTCCATGACAGAGCTGAGAAATAGTTTCTCCTCAGCTTTAAATTTCTCAGATTCAACCCAAAAAAGAAGCAAACTGCAGGTGAGCATCGCTCACATTTCTGAAAGTAGGTGGCGACTTAAGGAAGCAAAAGGAGCTCAGAAGATATGTGGAGGTTTCTGCTTGTCTGATGAACAGGTAAATTACATGTTTGGTTTAGAATTAACCTTAAACTAGCAGCTATCATCTTTAGATTGAATAACGTCTGAGAGATTTAATGTCGGAATGCAAAGGCCTCTGAGGTTTGTTACAGAAGATAAAAAATAAAAAAGCATTTTTAGGACCAAGGGACCCAGCAGATGGTCGGGGAGAAAGTTGTGGAGGTTTAAAAGCAGGATTAGATCATAAAACAATATCCTGAGGCTTGTTCAATCCATTGTCTCAAAAATGGACAAAGGATGGATGGAGACCAAATTTGATGATATATATTTATACTCAGAGCTATAAATATATTTATACTCAGAGCTATGCCACGGTGGTGGCAGCATCATGCTGTGTAGATTTGTTTTCTTTTGTTGAGCTAAATAGAGGACAGTCCTGGAGTAAAAGAAAACTTTAAACTTGGGTGAAGCTTCCCTCTCCAGCAGACGATGACCCTCAACATACAGCCAGAAGAAAGTGGTGTAGTTTAGATCAGGGCGCAATAATGAGTCAGAGCGGACCAGTGAAAGTCAAGATCTATATCCAGTGAACAAAGCGAGATAAGATGATATGAATGATGACCACAGATGATTTCCATCTAAGCCGACTCACTTTGAAATATTAAGCAAACATTTTAGTTTCCAGATGTGTGAAGATCAAGGAGACGATACTAAACAACTCAAAGTTGCAGCTGCAGCAAAATGAGGTTTGGCTGAATGTAAGCAAAATGTTTTATTTTTGCATTTATATAAAAACCCTTTGACAACTATTTATCAACCGCCTCCCTCAACAGAATAATCACACAAATAAAATTCAGCAAAGTAACATGATCTGCATCTGCATCTGTGGGAAACAAAAGGATTCTAACTAGATTAAAATCTCTGTTGGATAATGTCTCCCCCCCATGCTGGTTCAGCTGGTGCTGAAATGGACAGCTCCTTCAGTGACAGACTGCTGCACCTTAAATGCACCAGGGAGCGTTATCACAGATCCTTCCTCCCAGCAACTTTATAACCACCAATGTTTCCAACAACTTCAATACGTTTTTACATTCATGCTGATTTTTTCAGTTTCTCTCTTAGTCATTTAAATAACCTGCTGCTGTCATTTTTTTGCACATCTCTGATGTTGCTGCTATTTTAACAAATCCATTACTGTAAAAATGTCCACAGCTTTTTATGATTATTTATTCTTCAAATGACTGTGCAGTATTTATATTTGTAAAAAAAAACTGTGCAGTACAGTATTTATTTGCTTATTTTCTCAACTCTGTTAATTATTCTGTTATTTTTATACACTTTTTAAGGTCCACATTGTGTGACCACTTTTGCTATAACCTTTCGCTGCTGTAACACCAACATTTCCCCATTGTGGTACATTAAAGGGATTTTCTATTCTATAACAGAAAGTGACAGGGTTCTGTATCTACTGACCTGTTTCAGACACAATCCGGCTGCTCTGAGCTGAGCTTCCAGTTGGAGTCTGTGGCGCTCCGAATCGGCCAGCTGGGATTTCAGCTCATCGACCTCCAACAGCAGAAATTATACAATCAAGACGCAGCAATAATGAAGGAAAAGTCAGAAGAGGAGAAATAGGATCACATCTTAAACATATCTGATCTTTTTAATGTTGTGCAGGTCGGTCCCTCAGAGAGACTTAACATCGGACAGCACGTTAGCGTATCATGAATGATTTAACTTTTCAACATTTGCTAACACAGTAGCTCAGGTTTAAATCTGGGCTCCATCTAGATGGTAAACTGGCGATCAGAAAAGCTGAACCAATCAGAAGGAAGTACCTAAAGCACCATGCTACACTTTATACAGCTAGGTACACTGAGCTTCCACTCACCACCTTCCTGCAGCCCTGCAGCTGCTTCTCCACCTCCAGAGTATCCCTGTCCTCAGCAGACAGCATAACCGTCCTCTCTGGTCTCAGCCTGGAGCTCTCCACCTGCCTCCAGCACTCTGCTATCTTCTCCTCCATTTTCCTCTGGGACTTTGGACTCAGGGCCTTCACGGCGCCGTCTTCTGCTTTCTGGGTCTCCCCTTTACCCAGAGGGAAGCCCAACAAGCTCTCGTACCTCTTCCTCCTCTCCTCCCTCCTCCTCCGTCTCTCCAGATCACCCAGCTCTGGAGAGTAGTCTGTGTTTGCCGTCGCCTGGTTCTCAGCTTCGTTCTGTCTTTCCAGAACGCTCCTGGATTTGGGGGGATGGTCTTTAATTGCAGGAACGTTGTTGGTTGCAGAGTCCTGCGTCACATCTGGCTTGGGGATGACCTCAGGCGGGCTGGAGGGAATGTGGCGGCCAGGTAAGCTGAGGATATGGAACAGAAAGGTGGTGAGAAGAGCTGATATCTTTACGGAAGGCAGAATACAGAGGCTAGAGAAATGATGCACAGAAAGTTGAGAAAGTTGGTACTTTAACCAGATTAAATATAGAAAACATTTCTACTTTAAGGACAATCGATTCCTTTAACTTTGTTTTTCATTCTGTGATTAAAGCAGAGGATTATAAACATTGTTTTTTTATTTTTATTTTACACAACATGAATCATTTATTAACATAGTTTTGGAAAACTGTTACCACGATTGTTAATGTTTGGTAATCATTAAAGCTTTAAGCCATAGACCTACAACATTAAAAGTGTTCCTAGGTCTCCCTATATCAGTTGAACTCCTAGTTGCAAGTAAAAAAACCAGTGAGCTTAAGGAGGGAGGCATCGTTGTTTCTCTCTTATTAAGGTGAATGTTGGAATTGGACCGACACAAAGACGGCGTAACACAAAGGTTGAGAGCTCACTCGGTTACGTCTGGTGCCTTGGCTGGATGCACGTTCTTCATCAGGGCTTGGATCCAGTTCCTGCGTATTCCTGCAGTCATGGCAGACAGCGTGTAGACCGACCTCTGAGTCTATGAGATTCAAAGAGGACATTTATACTCCTCAGCAACAGCTTCACTTTGGACTCTTGTGTTTATAGCCCATCATAGCGTAGCCTTACGTGGATCTGAAAGCCGTAGTTTCTCTGGACCCGATACTCGGACACGCTGTAACACTTTGTTAGGTCGATTTCTCCTTCAAGGTTTGAAGACTGAAATGAAAAGAGACACTTTTAGGTCTTAAATACTTTGGATTATTGGTTGTTTCTGCTCTAACATGAACGTACCTCCTCTGCTAATGAGTCCTTGTAGTATCTCAAACTGGTCATTGACAGAACAAACCAGTATTTCTTCCACTAGAGGGAAGCAAAGGACATCCAAAAAGCTCCATCACTGTGGAAACCTTTATCAGGACAACTGAAATTTGTATTTTTTTTTTCTGAATTTACCTCCTCATCATCTTCATCAAGCTTCATCATCCAGCCTTTCTTGAAATTCAATAAATCTGGCTGGAAAGATGAAGAAAACAAGTTTAAATAAAAATGAGAATACATTAAAAAGCTTTCAGTATTTATTTTCCTAATCTTCAAAGATTTCAAATGAAAATAAATTGCATTGACAAAAAGTAGACAATGCTTATGCCATAAGTGGGCATGTTGCAGGTGATCTACAAAGACACGTGTGCAATGACAAAAGGTGCAAACTGGTTCGGTTGTGGTCCATTTAAATAAGCATATTGGATGAGTTACTAACAGTTTAATAGAGGTCATAAAAAAGATGAAGCTTTAAGCCAGAGATGGAGGCAATAATTAACCATTATCAAAAGAGACAATAATTATTATGGATATCCAGATCTAAAGATTGTAGAGCAGTTAGCTGTCCAGTCTGGAGGAACCTTCCACCTTTTCCTGAAACTAAGACTAATTCCAAAATGCTCCTGTCAGTTTTTTATGACCAGCTCCTTCTCAAGAAAAGATTTTAGATTCATTAAAATCAGGTTGTAAATCAGGGACTTTGGTAATCAAATAAAATCCACCCTAAAAACATATTTAGAGCCTTGAAATTAGAAAGAAAATGGCCCGAATAGGCTCAGCCATCCTGCATATTATGCGTGGAAGAAAATCAGCAATTTTGGGACATTCCTTATTTAATATTTAATATTTGGAAAAGATAAATTGCTTAATGGCTAATACCGGATTCCGCCATCTTTTCTCCGTCCGTGTTACATTAATAATTATCGTTTTATTAACTTATTCAACACTTTGGCAAAATTATTATTTTTCAGTAAATAAACTTTAAGCTGAGCTGACAACTTTCCAAGTACTGATGCATGGGGAGAGCTGCTGCAAAGAAATATCTGAGTGTCAATAGAGACATCAAGGAGTGGCGGCCTAGTGGTTTAGGCATTGCACTTGAAATCCAGAGGTTTCCACTGCGCCACTCCCCACACGGCCCCTCTGGGTCCCTGAGCGCCGCACAATGGCAGCCCACTGCTCAAATGCAGAGAGTTTAATAAAAAAGAAAAAAAGAAAAAAAAAATAATAATTTTGTGTGGTGAAAATCAGAGGCTAAGGTCCTGTTATGAGCTTTAAGCACTGCAGTAGACGGGGTCCAGCAGACATTTGCCAGAAGCATTAATGGGAACAAACTGGGCTTTGTGGTTGTTTTTCTGATTTATTCTTAACAAAAAAAAAAAAAAAATCTCTTTTTAAAATGCATCAGAAGGAGGCAAAACGTGAGATCTGATCAGCTAATAGCCGAGAAGAGAAAGAGCTTAACTTTCTGTACATGGTGGCTCGTAGCGGACACACACCTTTTTTAAATAAATTGAAAAAAGATGAAATAAGAGATGAGAAACTGTATCAGTAAATCGGGCAAAGAAACCTTTTCTAGTGTTGAAGGGCAGAAATGAAGACATTCTGATTGAGATCTCAGCCTCTGGGATTCTAAATATGAGAACACATCAGATAAACCTCATCCAGACCAGCCGCCTCTTACAGACACTCTAATAAAGCAACCTGTCCAACATTTTACCGTCATGGCCATGTCTGATGTCCGGCGATCCAGAGACTTTGCTCTTCTCTGAGGAGCAGGAACATTAAGCGTGTTACCATCTCCTGCTGACAGCAATTTCTGTGTGGAGATAAAAAAAAAAGGCAAGATTTAGCAGCTTAAGTGAATTATTTTCCCCTCTGGGTGAGGCTCTCATTGAGATAAGCAGAAGGTCTTTAGCAAAGGAACCGCCAGCAGCAGTGTTGCCCAACCTTTTTGACTTGTGTATCCCTTTGGGCATTTTGTCGCATTTGGCCTTTAAAAAAAAACAATAATTTACCATAATATGTGGTAAAAGAAAGTGAAAAAAAACTTTTATTCAGTGTATTTCAGGATTTAAAGGTTTAACATTCTGAGATAAATGCATGCAACCTGAACCTGAATTTTTAGACAATGTGCGTGTCTGAGATGCGTTCTTATGGAACTCATCTTTCCATTTTTCATGAACACAAACTTCCTTTTGCTTTGAAGGTTTTATAAGACAGTTTTAAAGTGTAAACGCCATAAAACTTCACATATTTAAGGCTATAATAGCAGCTTTTGGGACCTGACTGCAGCCTTTTGTCCTGTCTAACCTGACAAACAGAACTCCTCATAAGACTCTGCGTCAGAAATCAATTTATGCAGACATGCCTCTGCATACATACTATGGGAGTTTGTTCCAGGCATTCACAGACATACACATTACTACTACATACTAAGCTGCAGCTACAGATATATACCACCCTGAAAAATGATGTGTATCCCCAAAGGTTATGCCTTCCCCACACATGTATATCTAAGGGAAACCTGCTGCTCTAGAAACATTTTTTTATACTTTGGTTGGCTGCTGTCTTCATTTTGCTGTTATGTTCTGTTTTTTGTTCCTTTCATGTCATACAGTTTTAGAAGCAGACTTGTCGGTGTTACTATATATTTCCTGTGTAGTCTATATTGTTGTTTTGTTTTATTTTCTCTCTTTTCATGCACTCATTCCTGTCTATCTCTCTCTTTCTCTCCCCTTCGTTCTTCTCTCCGCATTCTTTCTCACATCCCTTTCTGTCTCAGTGTCTGTTATATTATTTTACTCCCTAAATAATTTCAAATAAAGTTTCATATACAAGTACACAGTGGAACCTTAGAGCAACAGTCAATGGTTTGCTTGTGCAAGCAAACCTGTTGTTCTCTCAGCTAGCTTTGGGACATCTATTCCCAGAGCCATGATGGCAAAACAGGACACAAAAAAAGAGAAATCAATTTATTTAGTTACGCCTTTCCATTGAGTTTTGGTCCAAGTCATAGAATTTACATAGTGTTGTCACAAAGGCTGCGTATTTTTCGCCAAAGTTCTGAATCGATTCGATTTTGATTCATTCAGTTCTAAATCGATTAATTGCAATTCAATCTGTTTTTACAACACTGAAAGTGGTTCAACTGTGTTTCAAAATACTCATTTATTTTATTCTTTCCTGTCATATTAAACACGAAGTGCAAACTTGTAAATCAGACAGTTTAAACTTGAGATGTGAATAAAACTGTCTCAAAAGTGCAAACTTGTTTGTGAAAAGTGAAAAAGTGAAGCCTCGCTCTAGCAAGCAGACGTGACCCAGTGTGAACACAGCAGACATGCATGAGCTGCATTATCTTCGCTGCACAAACCATATTTGCCGTGTTGTCTGTAACAACTGCAGGGTGTTTGCTGGTCAGCCCCCATTTGTTAATGTCTTCAGTCGACCTATTGGCTATATATGCAGCTTTCTGGCCTGAAGTCATCTTGAGTGCATCTTTCCTGCTCATTTAAATGTGAACATCACGCGCGTCACTATAAAAATAATCAATCTTATTCCCTAGACATCGATTTTGCAAAAAAATTAAAAGAATCGATTCAAAATCGATTGAATCGTTTTTTTTTTTTACCCAGACCTAGTTCTCACCATGACAGAATCAACACCAGTTATAAATTTATTCTTGACGATTAGCTCTGCTAATTCTGAGCTGACAAATCCTGGGTGTGAAGGGGAAACAAGCTACACCAGTGGAAACGCTCACATCAAAACAGGGTCAGTAGAAGTTCTAAAACATGCTTTTGAGAAACAAAAATGTCCCTAATGACGTCAAAATGGGGATGGTGTGTCAGTAATCAATGGATACTGGGAAGCAGAGTCAGCTGTGAGGATTAGGCACAGCAGGCAGACAGACAGGAGGTTTTAATCTCCAGCTCACATCACAAGTGAACTCCACATGCAGCATCTATAAGATGCAGGAGAAGCTTATTTTATCCTTCACTTAAAAAAATGATAAATCCTCCCAAAACGAATCTTCTGAAGATTTGTTCTGGTCGTGTTTCATGCCGGCTCCATTTCAGGTCTGGATTACGCAGCATTAATGAAACAGGGTTGGGTTTTTGTTTACTTCAGGCCCTGCTATTGAAAAGAATCATTCTTTTCACTTATATAACATCTTTAAAGGGGGGTTTAATCAATACAGACCCTCCTTTGTGTTTTTTTCTGGCAATAACATTGAAAACCATCCAAGGACACAACACACAGGAGGGCAGCCTTCTGACTGCAGTGTGAACCAATTTTGTTCTGCCTTTCTAACAATCGCTGAACACGACTGACAGAAGCTGCTTTCTGTTCAGTGAAGAAGTTTCCCCCCGCTGAGGGGGAGGAGGGGAGCATGGGGCTGTTCTGGGAACCTGAATGAGTTCCGGACGGGTGCCTTTAGTCTTCTCCTGACGACCGAAACAAACGCACCCAAAGACATGAAATCATGATGTAGGCTCACATGTTCCGATTGGAATGAGTCAGCGTCTTTACTGGAAGGTTACCAGCTGTTCTGATGACCCTGCTTTATCTACTGCTGGGATTCATTCCTGGTCAAATTAAATGTATTTTCCTTAGAATTTAGGGATATCTCAAATATCTCCAGTTTATTACAATCTATATAGTCATCTAAAAGCAAAACATGCCATTTTTAGTTTTCTGGGCGAGGCCCTCAGATTTGTTTAAAAAGTGCTGGTATTTACAAACTACCCATGATGT